GGTCCCCAGGTAGGCAGGAGCCCAGACTAGAGGCCTAAGCGGCAGAGATGGCGCGGGCTGCAGGGAAGCTATTCTATGGGCGGGGAGTTGCCGAGAGAACCCACTGGGGCCCGGCTCTGCTGGCGTGGTGTGGGTGAAGGTGGAGGCACCGTGTCCGTTGGTTGAGAAGGAGCAACAAGAGGCAGCGCTGGTGGTGGCCTGGGGACACGTGGGACTGCCTGCTGCCAAGTCGGCAGTTTGAAACCGCCAGCCAGCAGATCCAAGGGGAAAGGCGGGGCTGTCAACTCCCGTGAAGAGTTCACCGTTTCGAAACCCACAGGGGCAGTTCTGCCCTGTCCTGTAGGGTCGCCGCGAGTCAGAATAGGCTGGAAGGCAGTGAGTTTCGGGTTTGGAGAGGTGGGGCTTGGGGCTTGAAGAAGGGGGTTGTGTCCTCCTGTGGGGACCGAGAGGCAGGGGCTGTAGGGACCACAGGCTGGGGACTCTCCATGGGGCCCACTGGGACCTTGTTGGGGAGGAAGGACAGGAGGCAAGGAAGCTGAGGTGCAACCCACCCCCCACCCCGCCCCTGGTGTCCTGGGGAGCAGGGAGGACCACAGGGGCCTGGTGGCAACTGAGACTGCACAGCACAAGAGAGGGGCTTTATGGAAGCAGGCTGTGGGCCTGGGGGAAATCCTTGTGTATAAAGTGAGAAAGACAGGACTCCTGTCTTCGGGGCTGACAGCCTCAACACTGTGGTCTCGGTGGTGGGGGGTGGCAGAAGCAGGGTGGTCTTGCAGGCCACCACAAGATCTGGGAGGGCAGAGCGCTAGAGGTCCAGGGAGCAGGGTGACCACATAGCCAGGGGCAGGCAGCCCCGCCCCGGTCAGGAGGAGCCAGGGACCCAAGGAACGGGGCTCACAAGGACCTGACCGGGAGAACCAGCCGATGGCAGCTGGACTAGCTTTGCCCTGGGCCAGCGGGCGCCGGCTCCGAGTTGGCCGCCTACCTGGGAGGACAGGAAGGGTGCACGAGAAGGAGTTGGTCTTGTTCTCAGGCCCGAACCGCTCCTCCAGCTTCGTCTGCAAGGCGTAGAACTGGCGGTACCGGCGGTAGATGAGGTACTTGGTTCCCCCTTTCGTCTTCACCTCAATGACAAAAACCTAGAGGGGGCAGAGGCGGGGCGAAAGGACAGCGGTGCAGGTTCAGAGGTCAGGTGGGTGGAAGAGGTTCAGAGGTCAGGTGGGTGGAGCAGGTTCAGAGGTCAGGTGGGTGGAACAGGTTCCCTCCCCCTCGGTACTCAGACATTTGGGGCTGAGTCCTCCCTGGTCACGGGGCTGTCCTGTACACTATAGGGTGGTTAGCGGCATCCCTGAACTCTGTCTCCTAAATGCTGGTGACAACTCAGACATTTGGGGCTGAGTCCTCCCTGGTCATGGGGCTGTCCTGTGCACCATAGGGTGGTTAGCGGCATCCCTGAACTCTGCCCCCTAAATGCTGGTGACAACCAGCCATGCTGCCTATTAACCGTCCCTGGCTGTGAGTGTGGGTGTGGGTGTGGGTAAGGGAGGGGCAGGATCGCCTGCGTTGGGAGGCACCAGGATAGAGTTTAAGAAGTGAGAGTGTTGGATGCTCAGAGGTCGGTCAGACAGTGAAGGTTCAGAGGTCAGAGGGCGAAGGCCCAGGGGTCAGAGGGTGAATGAAGGTCCAAGGGTCACTCTTACAAAGTGGCTAGTGAAGCCTCGCTTCTCTTCGATGTCGGCGATGTTGGCTGAGATGGGGACGTCATCAGGGAGCTGCTCAAAGTCGCTGAGGAGAGGCAGGGGTGGACAGAGGAAAATCAATGCCGGCAGCATCCTGGTGTGCTCCGGGGGCTTGTGGGTGGCCTCCGTGTGCACAGCCACCCAATGATGGCATCCAGCCTGGCACCCATTCAGCACCCCTCCCTTTGCTGGCCAGCACTGGGGAGACGCGAGAAGTGGGGCCCAGCACGGCCCCCAAGGGAGTGGGATTGGGAGATGGCCCACACGTGGAAAACCGACTCTCATTGGCAGATACCACTTTTCCACTGCCTGAGCCCCTCAGGCCTCCCTCTCCTCCCTGCCAGTTCCCAGCCAGTGTGGTCCCGGTCCTGGTCCTGGGGGAGACTTTGAAGCCAGATCTAGCAGGTCGCTCAGGAGCTCACCCACAGGAGGTTGTGAGAACCCTTCCAGGCACTGGGGACAGCACAGGCCGAGGGTCTGGGCCGGGCAAGTGTCTGAAGAGTGGGCTGCTGTAAGCCTGACTGGAGCTGGGGATCTGAGTCTGACCAGGCGGAGGAGGAGGAGGAGGAAACCCTGAATGCCGTCTGAACTGAGGGGCTTCTGGAAGAACAAGGAGCTGCTCAGGGCTGGGCATGGAACGGAAGCAGCAATAGTGACTAGAGGCAGCCTTGCAGGAAGGAGAGAGGGGCCGAGACTAGGGGGCATTGGGGGTCACTGAGAGTTGATTTGGGGTCAGCTGGGAGGGGAGGAGGCATGGATCCAAGGGACACTGTTAACACTTAGTGTGCCCCCGCTTCTGCTGCACTAACTGAGCTGCACACTTGCTCAAGGGGGCCCACAGGCCTCACCCACGCTGAGTCAAGCACACTCCCATTCTGGATCCCCAGCCTTCTTTGCAGCTAGCGGGAGCCATGTGATCCATTCAATGAGCCCTAAAAGCGTTTGATTTCCTGATCCAGGCCCCTCCCCTTCTCCGTCAAAGTAGAAGCAGCAACTGGGCCTGCGCGGCCCTATTGCAAAGGCCCGGTTTGCACAAGGCGCAAACATGAGGACCAGAGGAGTCTCTGGGATGCTGGCCTTGAAGTCACCGAGCGGTGGAAACAGCTGGGGTGCCCCTCGGAATGTCTCGTTAGACAGCAGTTCTCAACCTGTGGGTCACGACCCCTTTGGGGTGGAACGACCCTTTCACAGGGGCCGCCTGATTCATAACAGTAGCAATATTACAGTTAGAAAGTAACAATGAAAATAATGTTATGGTTGGGGGGGGGGTCACCACCACATGAGGAGCTGTATGAAAGGGTCGTGGCAGGAGGAAGGTGGAGGACCCCTGGGTGAGATGATGAAATAGCTCCCCATTGATTCCTGTACTCACTCAAAGTCACTGCTATTGAGTTTATTCTGATTCTCAGCGACCCTGCAGGACAGGGTGGAACTGCCCCTGTGGGTTTCGGAGACTGAAATCTTTACAGGACTAGAAAGCCTCCCCTTTCTCCCAAGGGGGTGGCTGCTGACTTTGAACTGCCAACCTTGTGGCTGGCAGCCTCACAGGCAGCCCGCTAGGCCACCAGGGCTTCACTCATTCCCTGCAGTCAGCTGCATCTACAATAGGCACACAACCAACACAGGAGGCCTTTCTGAGCTGTGTGACCAGTGGAGCCGGGGGACCGTGAGGAAGTGGGGGTGGAAACAGGGGCATATCTGGTGATGCCCAGGCCCCTGACCAGGATGGGAGGCAAGGGAGAGAATGTGGTTGGTGGGCTCAGTTTTGCCTTCTGGGCCCCCAGGTCCATGTGCTGCAGGGAGCTGTGTGCAGCCTTGGAGCTTGGTAGGATTGGCGCATAAAGAACCGCCGCTTGTGGCTGAAGCAGCCTTGGTGGCACAGTGGTTAAGTTCTCGGCTGCCAAGAGAAAGCTTGGAGGTTGGACCCCACCAGCTGCACCATGGGAGAAAGCTGAGGCTGTCTGCTTCCGTGAAGTGCAGCCCTGGAAACCCCATGCAGGGGCAGGGGACGGTTCCATCCTCTCCTGTGGCCATCTACCTGCGGGCAGCGGGTGATGGGCTGCATGTGGCTGCAGCTGAGGCCTCCAGGGAAGAGCAGGGAAAGGGGGGGGCGGGGGAGAGAGAGAAAGGGAGCCTGAGAAGGAGGAACACAGGAGTCAGGGAGTCCAGCCACTTGTCTCCAGATGAGGAAGGAAGAAGCAGTGTGGACACTTCTGCAGCAGCGATGGGGAAACAGGGTGTAGGCAAGGGGCCACCACCCAGCCTCTGAGCTTGCAGAACCTCCTGGAGATCCACTCAAGGCTTCCAGAAACATCCAGTCCCAGGCCACACCTCTCACAGGGCTCGGCTCTTGCCAGGCCTCAGGATGCTACCCCTGGGAGGGGACTCTGGGTGGCCAGGGATGAGCCCCCCCCTCCCCAGAGCCTCTGGCAAGTTCCCCATATGTGGCCAAGGATGACACTTCGGGACAGGCTCCCTCCCCTGCTCTCTCCCTGCGGCCAGGGGGCACCTATCTCTGTAACTTGATGGGGGAGGGCGGGGGTGGGGGGGCGAGGCAGGAAGGGGCCAGAAGGCAGAAGCACCCCAACCGACCAAGGAAGAAGCAGGTTGGCTAACGTTTCCTGAGAGCACACCCGTCCCAGGCCCTCCGTCAAGACAGGGCTGCCTGGTTACAGGTGAGGAAACTGAGGCACGGAAATATGAACTCGTCAAGATCTGAACCCCAGCCGTCTAGCAGGGGGGCCCTGGGGGCATTGTGGTCACACCTTGGGCTGCCAACCCACTGCAGAATCAGCAGTTCAAAACCACCAGCAGGTCTACAAGAGCAAGGCGAGGCCTTCTGTTCCCGTGAACAGTCACAGTCCCGGGAATCGCGCAGGGGCAGTTTCACCCTATCCTAGAGGGTCGCTGCGCGTCAGAACTGACTGGATGACAGCAAGCCTGTTTGTTTGTCTGAGTCTGGCCCCATCCACTGTGCTCTCAACCCGGCTGGGCTCCCTCGTTCAGAGGCTCCCTGCATGGACAGGACGGATACCCGCCTGCCCTCCTCTGCCTCCGTTTCCCCATCTGAAGTACTAGCAATAAGAGCGAAACTTAGGTAGCACCCACTGTCTGGCCTTCTTCAACCAGATGGATGGACACAATGCCTGCAGCAGGCACAGGTGTAGGAACAATGGTGAGGGTGACCCCGGACCGGGCAGTGTTTTGTTCTGTTGGGCCAGGGCCGCTGTGGGTCGGAACCGACTTGGTGGCCCCTAACTACGACATTGTTCTCAGCACATCCAGACAGGGCCTTCCGGAAGCTCACCACGAGTCAGACAGGAAACAGACCCGTGTCGTTGCTGCTGCGATTAGCTGCTGTCCCGTCCATCCCTGTCCCACGGTGGCGCCGTGCGCAGCACAGCAGAATGCTGCCATTCCCATGGTCAGCTGTGGGCTGGACCGGGTTTCCGTGGCCTGATTTCCAGAAGTCCATCTCTGGGCCTTTCTTCCCAGTCCATCTTAGTCTGGATGCTCCGTTGACACCTGGACCTGGATTGTCGCAACACGCAGCCTCCCGGGAGGGAGGTGGGGGTCACACACAAAGTGCCTTGACTAGGAATGGAAGCCGAGGAAGCCGAGGGGGGAAATTCCATCATTCGAGCATCCCCCTGCCAATGCCCCCAAGCAAGCCATCTTCGTATTGCTCCGGGCCCAGAAAGAAAAGCAACAACGGGGAGCCTGGCAATTCCACCCCCTCCAAGAATCAAGCCGGTGGTTTTGAACTGCTGACTTGGTAGTTAGTTGACAGCCCGAGGTGTAACCACGATGCCACCAGATCCACCCCC